CTGCTGAAGTTTGAGGAAGAGAGTGGTCTGCTGAGACAATGAGGGTGTCCCTTTTTTCTGGGAAGATTTGAATTTGGACTACAAGTTTTAATGAGCTTTACATTTTCGACCTTTAATATTTTCCTGATGTGTCAGTAAAATTTAATTTTTTCTTGTAATAGCACTTTGGGGACTGGCAGAGCAGGCTGCCGCCAAGGACAAGGGCAGCAAGGCAAGTGCCCTGGGGACTTCTACCTGACCTTGCCTGCACTATGGCAGCTCAGAGCAGCATGAGCATCTCAAGCATTAGAGTAAAGCAGATCTTGAAATATCTTGGTTAAGAAAAAAAATCCTGGTCCTTTTACAGAGAACTCTGCGTCTGCGCTACATAAAGGCTGCTTCTTCTAGTTGCTGGGAGAGCATAAAAAGGCAACAGAATGAAGAGGCTGTGTATCACCGAGTACCAGATTTAGTTGTATACATACCAGAATTTAAAGATCTTTTCCCCATAAGTCCAACAAAGGAGTCTGTTTTATGCCCTGAAAAAATATATTTGGGGGTATTTTAATACATTTTCAATAGGCAGGATTTTACGATAACATGGTCTCACGAGGAAGGAAGACACTGGCTGCGATACTGTTCATCTCACAAACTGGTTGTTCACACCACTCCAAGGCGATGCAGAACAAACATCAGTCAGACTAATGGGACTAAACAGGTTAGACTAAGGCACAGGCCAGTTAGTGGACATCTCCCCATTGACTCAGATAGATTTATTTTTTTTATGATTTTTTTAAGTGTCATGGAACAACAATAGCAAGTAAGTGATTGTCATTCCTCTCTTAGTACAATTCCTACTGATTTGAGCAAATGTGCAAGAAGACAGTATCTTGGCATAGCTTGCATGTGTATGATGCATCTCTTCTACTAGTTGATGCATTTTTTCCTGTAATGTGGGAGAAAATCTTCCTTACAGGTCAGGCAGAGCCCTTACTGGAGAGGGAGCCAATGGGACTCTATGTCTGAACACGTCTGAGCTAGACAGTCTGGCTCTATTTTTGGAATATTTATGAGTTCAGATATTACCTTCCTGCCCCATTAGTACTCCTCGAGGCACTGGATGTATAGAGGATAAATTACTCCAAGTTTTGGCCTACAGCACGCATCAGATCTAGTGGTAGCTATAGTTTCAGATAAGGACAGAAAAGGAGCCATTTTTCTTTCGCTAAGCTTACTTTTGAGGCACACTTAGATGTTCCTCTTTGGCAAAAAATTTGCTTGGCTAATTCATCTACAAACCAAGAGGAATGATCCTCAGACCTCACAGGTATTAATTCTAGCTGAAGCAGTCTCAGAAAGCTGCATTTTTTTTTACTTTAGTCAGCAGGTTATTTGGCATGAGCTTTGTATTGGACTCTTTAATTGGTCTTCCAATACATAATCCTAGTGATAAAATCTTGTGGCTAGCAGAAGACCAGGACAGTTATTGATCTCTATGGACAGAGAAAGTAGCACAGAATATAAGATCATTTTTACTTATTAAAAGTCTTCCGGCTGCAGTCCAAGCATCTTCAGATAAATACAGAGAATTAAACTGTCCCTGTGCAAGGTAACACCATGCTCCTGATAGCATCTCCCACTTGGTGTTACACAGAAGCAAAGCAAGGCAGGCTTATTAATGGGCCAACATCTGCTTGTCTATATGGCAGCAGATCATCGATCAACCCCTGCTGTGGGAAGTGGTCTGATTCCCACCCTGACAACACTGAGAGCACAGCTACAGTATCTTGTGTGCGATGACACGGGCTTTCTCATGGAATAATTCTTGGGGATTTGGGAATTCACTGTTCTAATTTTCCAGATTTTGCTGTCTTAATTGCTCCTTTCCAAGTCTGGCAGTAAGCCTGCCTTGCCTATGAGAAAGGCTTACAGAATGCCCCCCATGGGAAATAAGAGAGAGCTGCAACATCCACACATTAATGTGGATTGAAATTTCAAAGCTTGTGGCGGCTCAGATGAGGTACAGGCTCATGGCTTCACTGGGGGCTTTCAATCCTTTAACAGAGCATTTCTCCACCACTGGTGCTGCCAGTCCTTAGCTGAACTCAGTCACCTGCTAGCTAATCCCCTCCAATACACCACCATTCCTCACTTGAATATCTTCTAATAATTACTTAAAATATTTTTAACTTACTTTTGTGAGAGATCTGGCCATATCCTGATTGGAAGAGGAAAAGAAAAGGGAAAGAAAGGTAAAAGAGTTGTTCAAAAAGGAATGGCATATGTATATATGATGCTACAGCAATGCTCTGAAGAACCAAATACAGAAACTATCCTGTGCATATTGCATTTAAGGGAAATTAAGGTGATCATTTACAACTGCACTTCTTTTTGAATAGACTACAAAATCTTGCTTCAGCTAAACCCACACAGTTTAGATCTGTTTAGCTCCAAGTTGCTTTGACCAATCCTTGGATCAGTAAGCACATAGAAAACACAGCAGTAATTGTATATACAGCCAATTTCCACACTCAGGCAATTCAGTGACACATATGCCAAGCTGTGAATTATCACGATACTCCTTACTGGTATTTATGTGGTGTACACTTAGCACTTTAATGGGAAGCCCACTCTTTTCCAGTTGGTGGGTTATTAAAGTTGAAGAAAAAAAACAACCAACACAAAACCAAACCAAACCAAACAAACCCAGACAACCCACATCACAACTTTTGAGAAAGGTTTAAGGCATTACAGCCGAGTGACAACCGCTGTCAAGTCTGAAGTGGCACTGGGAGAAGAGGCACGCAGGGAGGCTTGAGAGGAACCAAGGAGCCCCCCACCCCACTCACCGGCATCCCGCTTGCCCATGAGGCCGAAGAACTGCTGGGGCCGAGGTCTGCGGGCCATCCTCTGAAGGAAGTGCTCCAGGGGCAGCGGCAGCTCCTCCTATGGGGCGACAGTGCCAGCGCTCAGCGCGGAACCCCCATCCCGCCCGCGGGCGCGGAGCCCCGGGGCTCGGGGCAGCGCCTGGCACCGCGCCCCCCTTTCACTCGGCACCCTCACCGGGGCTCACCTTGACCTGGTCGCCGTCGGACCAGTCGGACCAGTAGCTGAGGTCGTCGGTGGCGCCCATCTCCTCGGCCAGCGCCTGCGCCGAGGCCAGGAGGAGCACGGCGAAAGCCAGCGGGAGCCTCATCGCCGCCCCGACGTCCTGCGGAGGGCAGAGGATGAAGCCGCGGCACCGGGAACACCGGACGTGAGAGCGGTCGCGGGCAACGGCGCCCGGGGGCGTGCAGGGACACAGCCCTACACACACCCCCACACACACCACCCACACACACCCCCACACACAAGCACGCACGCACTCTTACACCTCGGTGCGCACCTACAACCTCCCCATCGGTTGCTACGCACACCTCCGAATGTACACACACCTCACACGTATAGACATGTATGCAGCTAGATGTACACACCAGCACACAGGCACACACATCCAGAGGTGCCCCTCCACACATCTACATACAGAATTATACATATACATACCCTCACACATAGATGTACCTCTAGATATTCTCACCTTCACACATATACACACCCATCCAGGTACATACACATCTGGCTACAAACTCACACAAACAACTACACACCTCAGAGGCACACACCTGCGTAGAGGTACAGCTCTCCACACGCACAGAGACACACGTGTCTAAAGGCACACACTCCTCCCTTCACGCATCCAGATGCACACTTCGGGATGGGTACAAAAACACACGTATACAGTGATACACACGTATGTATAGGCACCCCCCCTCATAGATGCACACACATAGACCCCCCCCGCACACGCACACACCCTCACAAACGTATAGACAAGAGCATCCTCACGCATATAGGTACACACAGACGGACGGACAGACGAACGGACACGCTCCTGGAGAGACACATACCGTCTGCACCGGGAAGGGCGAGCGCTGCTCTCCGTGCGCATTGGCCGTCCGCGGGAGCGCTCCCCACTTTATATACCTGCAGACGGGGAGGGCCGAAACAGCCTCATTTGCCTAAATGCAATTACCCCCGGTTTGCGACAGCCCCCGCCCCGCCGAGCAGCCTCCGCCTCCCTCTCCTTCGGCGACTCCTGGAGATGCCCGGGGCCGGGGAGCACGGGACGGGCGGGCGGCTCTCACCCCCCCTTCCCTCCCGCTGCAGCTCCGTGCCCCCGGGGCCGCCCCGTCCCGGCTGGGGCGAAGGCGCGAGTATAGGGTGCGGATGTAAGGGTGCAGATTCCTCTTTTCGGTTTCGCTCCACCTGCTCTCGCACCGAAGGAAGCGCTGCTCTCCGCAGCGAGCGACACCGCCGGGACGGCGAGCAGCGGGTCGGGAACGGGTGGTATCGGGAGACAGCGTGGCGAGACTCAAAGGGAGGGATACAGGAACCCGAGGAGAGCCTCGCCCGGTGGGTGCAGCCCCGTTTGGGTAGCCGGGCACTCCGGGGCTGGTGTGTGAGCTTGCAAGAGGGGCTGCCCGGTCAC